TTTTGCCCAAACAACAAACTCCTATTTTTCTGTTTTCTAAATTATTCCCATTTGTATCTTTTGTTTTCTTTCAGCTTATTTGTTCTTTTTTTCTAACTTAAGTTGAACGTGTAATTTAGTTACTTTTATCTTATCTACAAATGTAATTCTGTGCCTCTAAATATTCTGTATAATTCCATGAACTTTTCACTGAACAGTTTTAGCTATATCCCACAAATATATGGTACTTTCATTATTATTATTTTCTAGATACTCTGCAATTTTAGCTTAAATTTCACCTTTGACTCAAAAGTTGTTTGAAATTTTCCAAATATCCAGATGATAATGTTTTCTTTTTTGTTTCTCATTTCTACTTTTACTGCATGTGTGATCAGAGAAAGACTGTATAACTTCTATGTTTGAGATTTACTGAGGTTTTGGTTTTTTTTGGTGGTCTAATTCTTAAGAATTTCCTACGAATACTTAAAAAGATGTCTTTGCTCTGCCTTCAATATTCAGAGTTTGATATGCATCAATCAGATTTACCATATACAACATGTTACTGGAATCTTCCATATTCTTGGTTATCTTTTTTCTACTTGACCTATTGTGGGCTAAGACAGATAAATTAAAACCCTTTACCATTAGTTATTTTCTGGCTACTGTTCGTTGTTAAGCCTGCACTTTCACTTTATGATTGTTGATGGAATGTTATTTGGAGCTTAAATATTTATAATGCTAATAATATCTTCATTTTGAGTTGTATCTTTTACCATCACGATACACCCGAAAACTCTCAGTGAGCAGCAGGATACTACAAACGGTTTCCCTCAACAGCAGGTTCTGTCCACGCAGCACTGGGTACAGACTGCACTGTTCTGGCAGTCACACGGGACTAGAGGCCTCTGCGTGCCCCGCCAGGCCAGATGAGCACATGGGCCACAGCTGCCTCTACCGGAGCTGCAGCGTCTTCCTGACCCAGTCAGCACTGGGAGCAGTCAAACAAGTAAGTTCTTCTGCAAGTACTTGGGAAGAGGCTAAGCTGTGTCCAGGCATGGGCCAGTGGAGAAGCTGGACTCAGAACTTTCCTGGTTAGAAAACTGATCAGACACTTTCGGTCTGTGGCCATCTGGTCAGTTTGTAAATAGTGGTTACAAAAATCATCTATTAGCCACTGCTTTTTCTATGATGTACTGTATTGGGCATATGGTTTGCTGTTATTTGTTAAAAGACCTGAGGGTCCAGAGTTCAATGGAAACAGGCAAGTGGTCATGAGAAAGAAAATCAGTAACCCCCTTTCAGTGTCTTTAAGACCATACTGGAAGGAAGAAATCATTAGTAATTGAAAATGTTTACAAGATGGGGACTTAAAATTTAGATTCTCTTCTCATGAATTATTCCCCAACAAAGGGAGTTGGGGACAGTGAGAATCACAATGTTTTTATTGCACAACTTGGGCAATGCAGAATTCTCCGGTGCATTGCAGTGTCAGCCAGTGGGAGGGTTAGACCACCACTACCTAGCACTGCAGCTCCTTTTGCAACTCACATGCTGCCTAGTAAAACCAGTGTCACAGTCAAGTCAGCAAGTTCTGATGTGCACTGATGGGTTGCATGACTCTAGTATTAGACTGGAAATGTTCTTTGTTAGCATATCTAAACACATCTTCTAGAAAAAAGATCACATATTATGATCTCCTTACTGCACTTAAGTCTTTCTGCTCATGGTGGGAATATAAACTGGTCACTATGGAAAACAGTATGGAAGGTCCTCAAAAAATTAAAAATAGAAATGCCATATGACCTAGTAACTCCACTTCTGGGTATTTACCCAAAGAAAACAAAAACACTAATTCAAAAAGATACATGCACCCCTATGTTTACTGCAGCCTCATTTATGATAGCCAAGATATGGAAGCAGCCCAAGTGTCCATCAACAGATGAATGGATAAAGAACATATAGTGTACACACACACCCACACACACACACCCGGAATATTATTCAGCCCTAAGAAAGAATGAAATCTTGCCATATGTGACAACATGGGTGGACCTAGAGGGCATTATGAGTGAAATAACTTAGAGAAAGACAAATAAATTAGGATTTCACTTGCATGTGGAATCTAAAAACCAAAACAAAGAACAAAATAGAAACAGACTCATAAACACAGAGAACAAAGCAGTGGTTGACAGAGGGGAGAGGGTGAGGGGGAGGCAAAATAGGTGAAGGAGATTAAGAGGTACAAAATTCCAGTTATAAAGTAAGTAAATCATAGGAATGAAAAGTACAACGTTAGGGAACAGTCAATATTGTAATAATTTTGTATGGTGATAGATGGTAACGACACTTATGGTGGAGGGGTGTGTTTACTCAAATTTAATCTCAATTTTGAAAATACTGCTATTATTTTACAGTTAGTGAATTGGATATTTCCCCCCTACATAATGATTCTACTTACAAAGTGATCATCAGTATGTGTTTTAAAGGTTTAATTTTGTTATTGAATTGAAATGCTTGTTTTATGTTTCAAGTACAATACTGTTTTGGTTTTTAATAATATATTCTTAACATGAAATGTGGGGTCCTACTACTGTTTTAACTTTAGGATTTTGTAATTATAAAACATTGAGCCACCGCTTCCCTGCCTGAGCCCACAATACCAGCAGTCATCTCAGTTCCTGGAACATGCTAACTGCTTCATGCATGGGGGCCATCATTATCATTATCGCGATTGCTACAGCTATATAATAAATTTAGTTTTGCAATTAAATAAAAAAACAAACAGAGCCACTGAAATGTTCATTACTTTGTGCAAAATGCTAATTCAAATTAAATTCCTACAAGAAAAAATAAATTCATCGCTGATCACCAGTCCTTCTAATATAGTTTTTCCAGTCATTGCTTGGTCGTTTTAGGTTGTTCTAGCAGTTTGGTCAAGAAAAGCTTTTGGGGGCGCCTGGGTGGCTCAGTCATTAAGCGTCTGCCTTCGGCTCAGGTCATGATCCCAGGGTCCTGGGATCGAGCCCCGCATCAGGCTCCCTGCTCGGCTGGAAGCCTGCTTCTCCCTCTCCCACTCCCCCTGCTCGTGTTTCCTCTCTGTCTCTCTCTGTCAAATAAATAAATAAAATCTTTAAAAAAAAAAAAAAGAAAAGAAAAGAAAAGCTTTTGGTTGAGTATGAAATTCTTGAATCATACCTTCTTTCCTCGAAGCCTTGATCTCCTGTCTTCTAGAGTTGAATGATAACGTTACGAAGTCTGAAGCCAACCTGGTTATTTTCACTCTTAAGAGCAGCCCAATCTTTTTGGCTCAACTGCCCAAAGGATTCTTTTGTCTCTGGCTTCTAGTAACTTCAGTAAGATGTCTTATTGTTGATTCTCCTATGTCATTTTTTTTACTGAAACATAGTACATTCTCTCAATTTGAAGACTCAAATCTTTTAATTTGGGGAAAATCTTCCTTGGATCATACCTTTACCTATTTCTTTGGTGCCATTACACTGGTTTTCTTCTCTGTGAACCCCAATTATGTGTATGCGGACAGTCTCCGCATCTTCCACTACTGTCATTTCTCTCTAATCCCTTTTATCCTTTTACTTCCTTTTTATTTTGCTTTCATAGCCTCTGTCTCTTGGCCTGTTTTCAGCAGTATCTATTCCTATTCCTTCTTATGCTGCACACAGTTTTGTCTTCATTTTATGTGATTTTTAAATTTTTTATTCTTTCCTGGCTCTGCAGCTTCCATTTCATCTTCTGATGTCTTGCAATGTGCCTGAACTTATTTTATAAGGGCAATTATTTCTGGACTCTTATTTCATAAAGGCAATTGCTTCATTTTTTTATTCATGGGAAAATAATCATAACCTTTCATATGCTTCATGACAATAATTTTTATCTTTGAGGTAAGCCTTCTTTATCTGCCTTTTATTTTTCCTGTTCCTTCTTCTTTCTTTCTTGCAGTATTCTAGCACAGTTTGCATGCTGGTTCCTTTTAAGCAGCCTGGCTTTGAATTAGTTGAGGTTTTTCTGTACCAGCTATCTGTAAAGCTTCTCTCAGGTTAGAACTGGGTATGATTTCCAAGTAACAGGACTATTCCTGATGACCCAGGGTTGTATATGAGTCCTTTTAATCTTTACTTCTCCCAGCCAAAAGCAATATGCAGCTCTGTAGGTATCTCATTGCTCTTCCTGCCACTCAAACAGATTGCTTAATGCAAATAGGGCTTGATTCCTTGATCAGGCTTTTCTCCAGTGCCTATTAAGACCAAAACAGGTTCAGACAATCTCCTATCACTACCTGTGCATCCTATTCTTGCTGATGAAATAAGGGATTTTAATTTTGTGCCTTGAGGTACACTCCTCACCTCGGAGAAGTGCACTGTGCTGGTTCTTTGTTGAGATCTACATAGTCCCCAGATAAGTCCTTCCATACTTCCTCCAGCACCCATGCACGATCTCCAGTGCTTCCTGCAGCCATTCTACTTATGTTGTGATTCATGGTTTCAGATACATTCAGATCTCCTAGTTTTCTCAAAGATGGAGTTTGCATTGCTTTTTCCCATTCTCCTTGTTGCTTTGGAATGGTTTCAGAGACAAGAAGGGGAGAATGTCAGGTGTACTCCACCATGTTTGATCTGGTAGTTCTCAGTAGAAGTTAACTTTTTATCACAAGCAGGGCTACTGTCACCTTCTGATTTTCAAACCCTGTCATGTGCATCTTCCCTATATGCTGTACACACATTGGTTATTAGCAACTTAAGCCTAAAAAGGTTACATGGCTCATCCAAGGTCTCAGACATGACTGGAACCCAAGTCTCTTGATTCCTGGTCCATGTTCTCACTGTGCCGCACATCTGTGTGTGTATATGGCCACAGAACTCCACTGACCTTCCTTCTAAGCAGGCTTATTGCCAGAAGCTGACCTTAAGAATTATACCTACAAAAAGACTAAGAAACCACATAACTGACAAATACCAGGGGTGAAGAGGAAAGAAGACCAAGAAAACAAGCTTAGTTTCCATTACCTGGCTTAGTATCTGTCACTCCTTCCATAAGAACCAGTCCTACTGGTCGCTGACAGGCGATGTCACAGAAACGGAATCGCAGCAGGAAGTCTCGGCTATACTTTAGTCTCTCTGCAAACCAGAAAAGCCATACAGTGAGAGAAAGGAAGAGAAGCCACATCCTGAAACCGCCTTAATACCGAGAAGCTTCCAGTGTAGGGACAAAGAGGAAGCCTGGCTCTGAAGACAAGTTGATTTTCCAAGAGATAAGATTTAAAGTTGTCCATTTCACCGGGAGGTCATGAGGAGGACAGTGGGAAAAACAAAGGAACTTGCTAAGAGAACTGAGGGAATTACATTTTCTCTTGTTACTGAAATACCAGCTGTCTGCCCAAATGGGCAGAGGCACAGCCAGCCAAGAATGTGGCACAGGCTCACCTGCTCTCTTGGGGTGACAGGAGGTGAAGTACTGACAGCAGTCAGTGATGCCCAGGGAGCTGGGCCAGAGTGGGGCCTGCAGTTTCCTCTGGTAAAGCTGATGGGAGAAGTCTTCCTGTCCAGACACCTAGAAGGAAATAGCAGGTGGGAATGAGGATACCAAGATGGAAAAAGAAAACAGCCCATGATTTGGGACATGCAGACACACACGCACACAATCACACACTGTATACATAACATAAGCAAAACACGTCAGTCTCGGGAAGGTTAAAAATAAGGAGCTAATTAAAATAATTTTTTTTTTAAACCAGAAGCACTGAAATAGCCACAAAGCAGAAACGAGGGCTAAGGGAATAAGGTACGTGAGTCAAAGAGAATAGAACTGTATGAACATATAGTCCCCTAAATTTCACCTCCGAAAAATCTACATGAGTCTCCATGGGGAATATCAACTTTCAGGGGGCTTTAATTTGTAGTGGGAAAAGGTTTTATCCTAATCTTCGGATCTTCTGGATCAAGGTTTAGCATCTTAAGTCCATCATGAGGAAAACACAGGGTCAAACCAAATGGGAAATGCACCAAAGAACTTTACTGTATCTATGTCACCATCCTCGGTCAAAGCCAATGAGCAGCCTGGGAACGGACAGAATGTAGTAGGGAAACATTGGGTAACATCAGTCATCTGCATATCTCCACCGTGTGTAGCAAAATTCCCTTTATTTCATTTAACAACAATAAATATTTGAATGCCAGCTATGTACAAGACACTAGCCACTAGCTAAGTGTTGGGGAGAGCACAATGATAGAATCTCTCTGCCCTTGAAGGACATAAATTTTCAATATGCCATCTCAAGTAAGACAGACCTAAAATTTAATGGTCACTTTCTAGCTGTGTATCTTAGGGCAAGTTAGTTAACTCTCTAGGGTTCAATATCCTCTATTATAAAATGGGATAATAATATCACCAACAATTAAGAATCTTGATAATAACAACTGATGGCTGACTGCTTCCTCTGAAGCAGGAACTGGAAAACACTTTACCATGCGTTCTTGTATTTGATCCACCAAACAACAACAACAAAAACCCCTCTAAAGTGGGTCCCATTGTATCCCTAGTGTATAGATGAGGCATGGGGCTTAAGGAAGTTAACTTGCACAAGGTAGCAGAGCAGGGACTGGAACTCAGGACTGTCTGGCTCTTAACCACTATGCTTAATGGCGCTGGTCACATGGTAGGCACTTAGTAAATTCTTTTTCCCATTCTCCGAGCTCCTTGATTATAGCAGCTTTCCGGCAGGATAAGACCTTTCTCTGCACACATGGGAACCAGGACATTGCTGGCATTTGAGTAAACTCATTAAAATAAAAGCCCAAAGTGCTCAACTATTCAGCCATTCTGTGTCCTTTCTCCACTGCGCCTTGCCAAAAGCTAAGCAATAAGTCGGACAGCAGTGGCCAGAGGAAGAGGGAGATTAAGTGACATATAAAGAAATCAGCACAAGCTGTCCATCAGCAGGGCTAAATGGGATAAATCTATGAATCTACGCTATCAACATTCAGCAGTTAAAAGGAATGAGATAGACCCATATATACATTGTTGAGTGAAAAAAAACAAGCTACAGAATGAAACATACAGTAATAGGTTTATAAACACACATACAACAGATCATATACCAGCTGTCAGAAGCAATCACAGCACAGTATTGGAGGGCAAGAGCTCTGGGATCCTGGCTCCACCACTAGCTACCTGCAAAGCCTAGAGCCAGCAAATTGCCAAACTTCTCTACGCCTTAGTTTCCTCACTTAAAAAATGGAAGTGATGATAGAAACTGTGAAAGCTGAGTGAGTTAACACATGTAAAGTGCTTAAAATAGCACCTGGAACCCAATAAGGGCCTAATAAATGTAAATTATAATTACAATATCACAGGAACATAGGTATCACTGTAAATGCATACAGAATAGTCTGGAAGATCACCACCAAACTTCAAACAGTTACTACTTCACTCTAAAGGGAAAGGTAAGGAATGTAGGTGATAAAGAGGGTTTTGGTCTTATTTTACAATGTTTGAATTCTTGCCAGGATGCACTTCTGTCTTACTTATAAACTAAAAATTAATGATTAAAAACTGAAAGGATTTCAAGATGCCAAAGGCGCCCAGGAATTTCTAACTTCCAGGCTTGAGTACAGACTATTCAACAGAACAAGAAAAGGCCGGAGGGAGCCAGAAAAGGTGTAACTGAGGTCCCTGCCACAGAAGGAGCACTAGCTGCCCATACCTGAATCTCTCCCTTGGCCATATTCCCACCCCCGCAGTGGCCTCTCCCATTTCACCTTCCAGGCTGGCATCCCATGGTACTGGAGCTCTCCATCCCTGATGAAGTTGTAGAGAGGTGAATTAGGGACAGAATTCAGGTCCCCACACAAGATGATGGGGCAATGGCTGCCATCAGACAACCTGGCTACTTTGTCCACTTCGGCCAAGAGAATGGCCATCTGGGCCAGCTTGACATCACCCCGGCGTGGGTTGTATAGGACATGAGTATTTGCCACACAGAGGGGGGCCACCGACACTTGCCCCAGGCCTTCTGGGACTAGTGGCTGCAGCAGCAACACTAAGCCCACGTTGTCCCGATTGAGGAGCTCCAAGCCCGGCCGGAAGTACTCCACAGGGCTGGCACAGAGCAGACGGAATCTCGTGGGCTTGTAGCAGACAGCACAGCCATCTGTCTTACACCCGGTCCTCCTCTTGTAGAAACAGGTAAAACCTGCAAGGAATACCCGGCCAAGGAGATGGGTCAGAGTCCCCCAAGCTTGAATCCCTCCAACCAGTGGCAGTAGCCAGGGCGTATGTGCCTATGGCACTGCTCCTGCTGCTCAGTAAGGGGGCTCCTGTCCTTGCCAACTCCTTGGTTCTGCAGAGGTTCCCTTACAGTTATAACCAGGTGACCGAGTGGCTACAGGGGAAGTAGGACTGAAGGCTGTGAAGCAATATAACTGGATAGGAAAAGCATGGGGGATAGGAAAAGCATGGATTCTAGAGTCAGACAAATTAGAGTCCTAGCTCCACAACCTACTAGCTTTGTAGCCTGGGTGACCATGGGCAAGTCACACACATTTTCAGAACCTCAGTCTCCTCATTGTAAAAATGGGGATAACAATAACTCAGCCTCACAGGGTGGGTTACTTCAAGGACTAAACGGCAGAAAATGTCAAAATTGCTTTAAAACTGCAGAACTCTTTCTTTCTCACCCATACAGAGGAGGAACTAGTGCACAGGCGAGACTGAGGATTTACTGAAGCAAAAGGAAAAGATGGTGCCTTCAGGAGAGAGCAGACAGGGCTGGAGGAAGCAAGACCGGTGAACATGCCAGGGAGCTGCATTACCCATCATTCGCAGAGAAGGCTCCAGCTGCTCCCAGTAATGATCTTCCTGGACTTCCTGGAGACACAGGATCTGGGAAAGTGACAAGGAAACCAATCACTCCAAAGTACCAAGAGTGCTAGAAAGTGCCTCCCACCCTAGGAGCAGGCACTGAGGCCAGGTGGGAAGCTGCTGCTTGTCTCATGCAGGGTCACACTGGAACTTTCCACAGGGCCGACTCTTCCCAGACAGCCACCAGCAGCAAGGACAGGCCTAGAGTTAAGCTGAGTAGACCAGATGCATGCGCTGGATTTTCCCACTTCTTGAATCCCTCAAGTCTCCCTCCCTGCATAAAGGTCCTGCAAAGTGTGTACCCACGGAGTCTTCTCAGCACCTGCCAAAAACTCATTTACTCCAGGCAGGGAAGCTCCAGCCCTAGGCAGAACTCCAATCCTATAAACAACTATGGGGTTGAACTCATTTTCTAAGAGCACTGGGAAATAGCCCACGTTCAAAGCAAATACAAGATGGCACTTCCTCCCCTCTTCACTCACATCGGGGTCCCAGTGCTGGAATTCCTGCAGGAGATTCGCAAAGCGATAGTTCCAATTGAGGATATCCGGATGGCAATGCAGATAGAGCTCTGAGCTCTGCTGCATCAGGTCCTGGGCCAGGATGTTATAGGACATCAGAGTGAACTGGAACTGAGGGCCATCCCCCGCCTCCAGGCCCTGAGCATCTGGCTGAGCGGAGAAATCCTCCCATTCTCTCCACAAGATTTCTGCAAAGGGGTGGAAAGAAGAGGTCCACAACAAGTACATGTTATCCTCAGGCCCTGCCATCTCCACTCCTGACTCAGAGATGCTACGCCTGAAGTTCCTTTTTTCATCTCCCCTGCCACCCAACCCTCTCTATGGCTATTTGAGCAGCATTCTTAGGACATTTACAGACTAGACAGTAAGCTCCACAAAGCCACAAAGCCAGAGACAATCTTGGCCTGTTCGCCACTGTACGTAGCATAGTACCTGGTACATTTTCAATAAATCTAGGCTGACAATTTCTCGCTTTTGATAAATCTATGGATCTCTGGAGAATCACAGATCAATGTGCTTCATAGTCACCTGAGATTAAAGACATTTCTAGAGTGATCTCAGCCTTGGGTGTTTCCTAACCTTTAAACTCAAAAAAGCCTGTGGGGCTATAAACCACATGTCCCCATCTCCCCTAGAGCATGGAGCTGCAAAGTGGATTTCAAAGCTATTTGAGGCACAGAATTCATTCTTCAAATTTTAATGGAAGCCAAATATATAACACAGATAAAACCGGAAGATAAAATTCTGGTTGAGGCAGAGAGTGGAGGCCCGGGGATCTCTCCACCACTACTTCTAGAAACAATATCGTGGAGAATCAGAACGAGGGTGTGCTTTCAGTTCTGCCTCTACCTGGCTATGTGACTTTAGGCATGTCCTGCCACCTCTCTGCACCATGGCTATTTCATTTGAAAGACCATGGGGCTGGATGAGACAATCTCTAGATCTAAGGCCCCTCTAGATCTGATACTGTAAGATTCTCAGAAAAACAGAATGCAGCAACAGAGCTCCCTGCCAGAGAATCTTCTCTCTAGCAATGGCTCTGCTCACACTGGAGACAAGCTGCTGCCCAGGCTCCCTCAGCCAGTTGTCAGACTCACCATGATATGGGATTTCCATTGAGGGAGGCTGCAACTGCCCCAGGCCATCAAAAGGCCAGATGGGAGCCTCTTCCTGGGGCATAGGCTCGGGTGCTATGCTCCAGGCCACCACTGCGGGGTCCTCTTCCCACTGCTCTGCAGCCAGGGCACCCATTGGGAGGACAGCACAGTCTGCATACTGGGGGCCAGTCTGCATGGGGACAGCTGCCCACATTGGGCCCTCGACCTCTGGCAGTGGCTCCTCTCCTAGCACCTCGGGGAAAGGCTCCTCCAGGTTCTCTGCTGCCCGCAGGTCACTCAGCTGCCTGCTGGACCACTTGTCCTCTGAAGCAGCATCCTGTTCTCCGGGATTATCCATCAGGAGCGCCAGGCTGCTCTGGGCTAGTCCCTTATCTACAAGGGGACCCTCACTCGAAGTTGAGAGCGCCTGGCTCGACCCTTCTTCTCGCCACTGCTGTAGCAGGCCCTCACACTCCTCCTGGTCAGGGCCCCGAGGGGCCATGGCAAAGTCGCCCTCTACCTGGGTGGACGAGCTCTTCGCCAAGAGGGCATTTTTTCGACATGTGAAGAAAGCATCTAAGAAGCAAGCCAAAATATCATGTTATAAGATGACAATGTCGGGGCGCCTGGGTGGCTCAGATGGTTAAGCGTCTGCCTTCGGCTCAGGTCATGATCCCAGGGTCCTGGGATCGAGTCCCGCATCGGGGTCCCTGCTAGGCGAGGAGCCTGCTTCTCCCTCTGCCTCTCTCTCTCTCATGAAAAATAAATAAATAAATAAATAAATAAATAAATAAATAAATAAATTTTAAAAATTAAAAAAAAAAAAAATAAGATGACAATGTCCCCCAATCCATACTCTTCTCCCAACTAGAACAAAAGCCCCATACAAGCAAGAATCACATGCACCTTGATCATCGTTGTACCATCCATCACTGAGCCTGCCCATTTTAGTGCCTGGAACGCCATCATCATTAGCATAAAGTGCTTACTATGTGCCAGGCACTATTCTAAGTGCTTAACAAATATTAACTAATTTGTATGGTAGGGATCTGATATATATTCAGTGCTTGAATGAAAGAATGGCCATCCCACATAATCTAGGACAGAGATGGTAACATATAACCACCCCCCCTTTTATCTAGAGGTTACAACTCCTATTAAGCATCAACTCTCTGGTTCTAAGGGCCACATTACATTGGAACCAGAACTTGACCATGAATCTGAACTGTGGGTTATGACCTAGCACTGAAATTAACAAACCATGTGACCTTGGACATTGCCCCTACTGAGAGGGGCTCACTCTTGACTCTAAAGGGGGACAGGGGAAGTTTGAACTACATAATCTCCAAGAGCCTTTCTAGTTCTATAAATCCCCTAATCGATAAATACATTCCAAAAGAAAAAGTCCTAAGGTAGACAAAAAGGGCATCTCAAAATCTATACAATTTACTTCTTGGCAAAGGCCCTTGCTCTTTTTCTCGAAGCTATATATTCTATTCATAAATCTTCACAAACTTCATTATCAGCCTTCCCATTCCCTAACACGCCAGAGGCTGTAAATTGGAAGGTGCCAACAAGTGACAGCAAGAGACAGCTGTCATCTCTCTGCCACAGCAGCCACAAATGACAGCCAACAGGCAAGAAAGCAAGTGGGAAAACTCTAAAATTAGAGCCCCCAAACTCCAAGCACAGTATTTTGGTGCAAACACCCACACTCACTAACTCACTTATTTACAGCACAGGACAAGGGACTTGCTCACCCTCAACCACGAGAGATTCATTTTATCAGCTCTATTTTTTTAAAAGGCAGGAAAAGATTCAAAATGGTTCAAATGTTGAAAGATACTATCTTATTTATAGTCTATGTGGATTTATGTCCCTCTAACCCAGTGGTTTTCAACCAGGGGTAATTTTGCCCTCAGGGGACATTTGGTATTATCTGGAAACACAGTGGATGTCAAACCTGTGGGGATGCTACTGGCATCTAGAGGTTAGTGCAGAAGGATACTACTGGACATCCTACAGTGCAAAGGACAGCCCCACAACAAATTATCCAGACCCAAATGTCAACAGTGCTGAGATTGGGAAACCCTGCTTTAAATCCATGAACTTCACTGCTGGCTTAAATCTCAGATTTGCTAATTCCCTGTCCCTTGAAACATCCCCTGCATATCAGATGGCAGAGGTTCTCTGGTTTACGTGTGTGAGGGCACTTGTTTTCAAATTTCAGATTTTTGGTGGTGGTGGTGGTGGTTGGTTTTTCAACAGAATTGTTTTATAGGAAGGAAGGAGGGAAAGGAGGGAGGAAGGAAGAGAAAGAAAACCTTCTGTAAAAACCAAATACACAAAGTTTAAAAAAAGTGGCACTACTTTAATGGGGGAGAGAGGGAGGTGGTCCCTCCTCTGAGATCTCTAAATTCTGACTACCGGCCTAGAAACCTGTGGACTAGTGTATGTCACTAAGGCTACCCTGGCGGACATCGGAAGAGCTCCAGAAATGACAGCAACATGGATAAAGGAATATGCTTTAATTCTCTGAAAACAATCACTTCCCGTGGAGTTTCTCATCCGGAATTGAGTGTCTACTATATTCTGGGCAGTGTGCTAGCACTGGAGATACAGGGAGCAAAACACACATGGCCCTGCCCTCCTGGAGCTTGCATTCCAGCGGCAGACACACAGATATAAATAAATGAATGAATTTACACACTCACACACATTGTGTAAAGTTACAGAAAGGAAAAGCACAGAATGCAGTTGACCGCTCATTTCTGTAAGAAAGTAGCTCTTGGTCTGTCCCGCCCTCTAAATTGCCAGAGAACATTCTGGGCGTTCTGTGGGAAGTGATTCTCCTAAGGGCCTCGGGAATTTTTCAAAGACCAGGAATGGCAGCGCTGGCAGATCATGAAAAAGTTAAAGAATAACTCTCTTCTCGCTCTAAAGTACCAACTGGGCATTGGCTCCACCCCGCCGCATCCCTAAACGCACGGGAGACTGCTTCAAAGCTGGGGTTTATGTGGTCTCCGGGTTGTGAGCACCAGTTTTTCAACCAAAAGCTCGGCTGGAAACTGGAGAGGCGGCTGTGAAAGGCGAGTGTGGAGTAACCCGGGGGCAGGCAGGTGCGTGCGGGTCTTCGGCCCACAGACCGACCCCCCCGCCCCCGACAATTCGGGGCGTTCGCCTCGACCCGAGGTGCCAACCCTCGCCGACCCCCTCAGGGCAGTGACTCTGCGGACCCCAGAAACCTGTGCACCCCCGGGGCCCGGGAAGGGCGGCTCCTGCCCCTTCGCCGGCCCCCTCCCACGTTAACTGTGGCCGGAGGCCACCAGGCCACAGGCGCGGGGAGAGGAGGGGCGCCCGCGAGGGTCGTCGGCCAGGCCCGGGCCTCATGGGGTCCAGGACGGACACCGGGGGCCGAGGGCCGCCTCCCCACACCGTGGTCGGGGCAAAGTGGTCGTGAGGCCCGACGCGCCGCACGCCGCCCCAGGCCCCGCGGGGCCCCGCCGACGTGGACCCGGGCCTGCCACCCGCCTGCCAGGACGCAGGGCCGGTACCTGAGAGGGCGCGGAAGAGGCGCGCGGCCGGCAGCAGCAGGTAACACAGGCACGACGCGATCATGGCCAGCCGCCGCGCTCGCGCCCGCACCCGCGCCCGCCTCCCCTCCTCACCGCCGCCCGCCGGGTCTCTCTCGGCTCGGCCCCGCCCCCCGGGCCGCCTCACGTGGTACCGCTGCGCTTCAACAACAACTTTATTGGGAGCGCAGTGCCACGCGTGGCCCGCGGGGGCGGGGAGCCTGTTCCCGTGGCAACGGCCCGGCCTAGCTCCCCGAAGCCATCCAGGCGCCCAGTTTGAAAATTAAGCGCCTCGCTGGAGGCTGCGTAGTATCGTTCCAGGGCCACAGTTTCATTCCCACTTTTGCCACATAACTAGGGGTCCCCCTGGGGTACACTATAACCTCTCCGTCCCGCAGTTTCCTCACCTGTAAAAGGAGGGGCTGGACTTTCTCTAAAGCCTCACACAGCCCTGACTTCTGTAATCTCTCTCCTCATCCCAGAGAAGAGAACGCGTTCTTCCCCATTTGTTTTCTTTTCCTGACTCTGCTCGGTCTTCCCCAGCTCAGATTCTAGGTCACAAATTAAGTCCACACCTTTGTCTCCTTTCCCATCCTATTCCAAATGAGTCCTCTTTTTTACCCAGTCTGGAAAAAAGGGGGTGTCCCATTGGTAAGGGAGTCAAGAAAGGCAGGGGGGAAAGCTCCACAAGGCAGGGACCGAGTCTGGTTGGTTGGTTTTCATTGAGGTGTCTCTCCAGTGCTTACAACAGTGCCAGGCACATAGAAGGGACCAAATCTTTGCTGACTGAACAAAGCAGAGGTCACTAAATGAAGGCCGGGTCTTCTGTCGATTCTGTGCTACCCGAAGACCTCTTTGAGTCTCTCTTCCCCATCCCTCACCTTCAGTCTACGCCAGCCACATTGGGAAGCAAGGACTGTGTAATACTCCCAAGTTCAGTACCTAGTGTCTGAGCTGTGTGATTTCCGATTTGTGGCTGGAGCCTCGGTTGCTCGGGGAAGCCCTCTGGGGAGTCACCAGATCCAGGACCAGCTGGGTACATCATAACACTGAAAGGCTAAAAGGAAGAAGAAGGAGAAAGTCAGTCTGGCTTCGACTAGCAGCACTCACCTGTTGCCTGAGATGAAGCAGGGGCCCCAGGGGCAATCTGAAGGTTGGGAAGCCTCTTAGAAACTAGTGCACAAACGTCAGCTCTGCCTAAGGAGCCCCCAAAGCCAGGCCCACTCCTTTTAGGTGGCTGAAATAAACCTTCCTTGTAACTTCCTTCCATTTTGTCCCAGTGGTTACCCAGAAGTCCAAGTTCTAAATCAGATCCTAAATCAAGGTACTTACCTAGAGCCTATGTTTATCATTTTGGGACATGAGGGTTCCCTTATCCACTTGGAAATATTTTAAAACTACAAATTCCTAGGCCCTACTCCCAGGGTTCTGATTTAACAGGTCTGGAATGGGGCCCTTAACACGGACCAAGTTATTCTGGTGTACAGTTGGGAACCTCTGCTAAAGGACCCACCCTCAACTGTACTGTTCAAAGCATGTGTGAGCAAAATGTGTCAGGCCAACTGATGCCATATTCTTTGAGAGGCTTTTCCCCAAGGCCAAGTAAGTGAGACTGCCCTCTTTCTGTTTCCCAATCCATACTCAGCTATGTTGAAAAGTGTAGGGGGATGTGAGCATCACAGGGTTTGGAGTTAGACCACCTGAGTTCAGATCTGGCTCAGCCAACTTCACACCTGTGGAACCTCTCAGGTCACTGAACCTCTTGGAGCCTCAGTTTTCCTCCAATCTAGGATAAGCTCTTAGTGTTTACTTTTTTTTTTTTTTTTTTAATTTAAGCCTAAACCAGCTCTGGCTACTGCTAATGTAGGGTCATCTTCTACAATCCCTGGCAGAAATAGAGCCTTCCAAACTGTAATGCTAAGCTAGCCTTCCCTGCAGATTCCAAAGAGACTTGTCCTGGAGAAGAGCAGCCTCAGGCTTCCCCAGTCAAAGGAAAAGTGTTAAGTACAATCTGCACCATCTGCAGCCTTATTGCGTCAGAAATAGTCCAAGAAGAGGGACCGGATGAGTCCCTCAATTTATCCCAACTATGATAACAGTGGAGGCGATGATAAACCACTGGGTGGTTGCAAGGATGCAGACCCTATCTAGTAGGGCCAGTGGAAGGTTTTGCAAAACTTTGAAGGATACAAAGTGTTCTTTTACAGGGGAATTTCATGTATACAAGAAATGCAAGCACTTGTGGGTTCAAATTTTACTTCTGCCACCAGGGATGTATGCAAGTTCAAGATGGCTGCCTTTATTCATTTACTGGTAGAACATGTGCATCATACAGGCTGGTATAATCCTTCCTTTCAGGATTGCAGAAACTACTGACCAAGACCTAGAGCAGAGCTGCTTAGGAGAAATGCAATGTGAACCGCATATGTAATTTAAAAATTTTTAGTAGCCTCATATGAAAAGAAAAAAAAAGTAGGTGAAATTCATTTTAATAATATGTTTTATTTAAACGCATCTGTCCAAAAAATTGGCATTTCAACATCATCAGTACTTGAAAATGAGATATTTTGTGTTCTTTTTTTTTTTTTTTTTGTAGTAAGTCTTTGAAATCCAGTGTGTGTTTTACATGGACAGCACACCTCAATCTGGATTAGGCACAATTCAAGTGCTCAATAGCTACAGGGGCTAGTGGCTTTCGGATTGGACCTGTGCAGGTCTAGAGGTCTCAAACAGCCTCTCAGATAGGATAGGCTGAAAAGAATTGCTTACCTTCAACTCTTATGATAACCTGAGACCTGTATACTCCTCCTAACCTGGCCTCTGTAATCCTAGTGTTTCCTCTGGGATCTTGGTATTTATGGCTAGATATTCCCAGAATGTGCCAGATTGGTCTGAGTTGATGCATTCACTTATTCACTGATTCCTGCATTCATGTACTCATCAAATGTTTATCAAGCGCTCATCAGTGTTTACCCCAACCTCACCCTGACTTTTCTTGACCTCAGATCCCCTCCTTCTCTTTCATTGCAGACTTTAGCCCTAACTCAGTTTTTCCTACTCAAGTCCTCCCATGCCCAATGTTAATGAGCCATCCCAAATCCTAGAAGCTCACTGTCACCACCTCCTCAGTGGCTTCATTCCCATTATATTTCAGATACCCTTGGAGTATCATGGCTAAGTACTGCTCCACCTCTGAAATCATAAGTTCAGATACCCACACCAGTAGATCACATCATGGCTTTCTGCCTCTCCCACTCTCACTTCTGCTTCAGCTGTTAACTCCATCAAACCCTAGCGTTCTCTCTTCTATCCTCACGCTTCCCCTCCATCACCATTTCTTTTTCTATCCAATATGGAATCCCTGTGAACCATCTTTTATCACTCTTCCCAATATCAACTCTCCTTCCCACTGTTCTTAAATGACACCTGTCAAGGTCAGTAAAACCATTCTCCTTCCTGGCTCTGATGTCTGGGCTGCTGAGCACTGGTAAAGTTACCAACGCCTTGGACTGGAGCTCTTAGTGTGCTGGTCTCCAACCTCACACTTCAGCCCTCAACCCACCTCTGTGCTCTTCTTTTTGAATGGCACAATCCCCTACCAAGTTATCCTGGCCTCTGGCCTTTTCTTCTCCCTTTTACTTTCATATCTGATCTGTCCCAAGTCCAAGGGGTTTGGCCTTCTTTATGTTTGTTGAGTGAGTCCACGTCACCCCTGCAGCCACTTCTAACTGGTGTTGATCCCCTTCTTGTCCTCAGTCTGCTTTCCCCACTGCAGCCAGAGCAGTATTTCTACTCTACAAGTCATGGCCCGGCACACTGCGCCTTCAAACCTCTCTGCAAACCCCCACTGCCCTCAAAATGCAGGCTAAACTCCTTAGCATAACCGTGAAGGCCCTCTTTTGTTGGCCTCCACCCACATCCTTCAGCTCTTCCCTTCCATCGCCACTGCCCGCAGTGAGAATCCCACTCTGACAAGCTGCAGGGACTTTGTGGATGCTTCCTTCCCAGCCTCAACTCCCTCTCCTCCTCCCCTGGGTCTGCCCGCCCACCCCCCCACCATCACTGGTTACTGCCTAATGGACCTTCAAGTCTCAACTTCGACATTTCTTCCTCAAGGAAGCTTTTCCGAATCCCTAGCACCTACCCACACACAAACGCACCACCGCCCCCAGTCTGGACCAGAAGCTTTCTCCTATTTGCTTCTCTCACACCCTTGCTTCCTCTGGGCCCCAACACTGTCACTGTCTCTTTACTCATCAGTACCGCTCAGTAAACTGTATACTTCATGAGGTTTGCCACTCTGTTCCCATCGCCTAAGCCAGCACAGGGGCATCCAACACATACAATGAACGAATGAATGAATGAATAAAAAGTCCTTCTTTCCGAAGAGCTTCAGTTTCATAAGGAAACTGAGCATAATAAAACTCAAACTTGCAAAAGTGGACACATAATGGGGAATTTCTTGCTTTATAATTCTGCAAGTGCCTTTCTTTCAAAGACCCCCCCATATCTGAAATCCCACTTGATTTACAACTATCATTTATTTTAAAAAGCTCTTGCAAAAAAATGGGATATTATTACATCTAATAATAACGGCATCTGTTTCTTTCTTTGGTTGCACCTCCTCATCTTGCCTCCTAACGTGGTTTCTGCCAACTTTCTTGGATTCTTTTCTCTCCATTCTTTCCTTGGAGAACTAGAATCTTCATCATCTTATGCTAATGGCAGTCAAATACAATGGCAAACTTTCCCCTAAAGGACCAGAGAGGAAATAGTTTTGGCTTTGCAGGCTATGGGTCTCAGTAGCAACTTGACTTTGCCATGTGGCTGCATGAAAGCAGCCACAGAAATACCTAAATGAGTGATAATGACTGTATTTTAAGAAAACTTTACTTACAAAGCAAGCAATGGGCCAGATTTGGTCCTCAGACTAGTTTTCCAACTCCTGAAATCTATCACCTGAGCCCAGACCCTTCTGAGCCATGAATGAAGAACAACCTTGTCATGTTAAACCAACAGCAAGGGGGGCAGTTTTGTGAGGCAGTA